CAGTTTCCTCCCACACTCCAAAGACATGCTGGTAGGTGAATTGGCTCCTGTGTAAATTGTCCATAGTATGTGCATGTATGAATGTGAGTTAGGGCCCTTAGATTGTACGCCCCTTGAGGGTTAGGGACTAATGTGAATGTACAATATATATATATATATGTGTGTGTATAAAGTGCTGCATGAATTGATGGCGCTATATAAGTACCTGAAATAAAGAAATAAATAAATAAAAAAGGGTGAGTAAATGCAATTCAATCTGCCCTTCTCAGCGGTAGGTCTCTATCTTAGAGCTTTCCTATGGATAGTGCCTGGACCACAGTAACATGAGGCCTGACAAGCAACCAGGACAACCTACATTCCACCCTTTGGCAGGGAAATCTCACACTCATACCTTGCCAGGAACATGTCTTGAACGTCATGGTGCAACCTTTCCTGATTAGGTACCCTGATTTCCAGGATGTCCTGCAGCAGGCTAGAAGAATGTGTGACCACTTTACTTAGTTATACTCTGCTAGTGTTCCCCTGGCAGCAATCCAGTGGCAACACAGGCTGCATGCCAACAGACTGATATGCAATCCAACTGTGCTCTTGAACTCAACATTGACCATGTTGCAGTGGCTGCTCCATGAGCAGCTGATCATCAACAAGTATCTGAGAGTATGTGACAAGTACAGGCTTTGGGTAGATGGGATTATTTTCACCACATCAGTGACTTCTTGTCTTGGTTTAAATACACCAACAAATTGATGACCCGTGACAAAGTAAGGAATAGTGACATGAACCCTCTGGTGTTCCTGCTGGAGCATATCATTTGTGGTGTGATATACCACAATGGAGGCACATCAACAGGAAGAAGAGGAAGATTTCCAGCTGTATCATCAGGATCCTTTGCTTTTTTACATTTATTATTATGAGGCAGAATCAGCAGGAGTTAGGGGCGAAGTACAAGGAGGGTTGGGTTGCTGGCAGTAAGGAGGAAAAGGGAATTAGGCAGGCTTCCAGAGGAATATTTCACTCTTCCCAATGTCTAACAGTTGTACATGGGTAAGGAAAGTAATATCGTTAAGGACTCTGTTGTCTTCTTCTGTGGTATTTGTGATGAATTAACATTTTCAAGCTGAAATGTCTGCAAAAGGACTGCAGTATTCAGGTCATGAAGGAAAAGAACCATTACTGGCTGGCCACACTTTTGGATCCCTGATAAAAGGGGGATTGGCAGAGTTCAGCTACTATCTAAGAGGGAACAAACAATGATCCCCTTAAAGAGGTGCTGTGGAAACTTCTACCACTACAATCTCTTATTCCAACACCTGAACAGACAAGTTCAGTCTGAACTTGTGAACCTTAAGCTCGTCATTAGAGAGGTAGTGAAAAATCTGTAATTCACTAAGAAGTGTAAGAAGGGATATCCAGGGCTGGGTCAAATAAAACCACAACTTGTTGGCATAAACTGCTACTTTATGTGATGTGTTACCTACAGTGAAGTCTTGAATATCTGGGTTAAATCTGATCATTTGAAGAAAAGGTTTGACACTAAAAATAAAAATAGGTAAGAGAGAGGTTATAACCCTGACAGGCACCATTGTTGATGCTGAACCTTTCTGAAAGAATGCTATTTACTTACTGCCAATAGAGTGGAATAGAGCAATCGTATCCACATTTGCATATTAGAGAGAAGGCCAATATTTTGGAGAGTAAACACCAGGAACAGTCTATTCGGTTAAAGGCCTTGGCAATGGTTTTGCCTGCAGCAGAGTATGTGATACCAAGTCCAGAGTTCTAATAGTATTTTCCCTCAACTCTCATTGTTGTAAACCCTGTTTAGTCCACAAAGGAGAGATTTGAGCCTGTTAGCTAGGATTTTGGCAAAAATCTTTGTTAATCAAGACATTTTTAACACTTCCCCCTTAGGAGTTGCTAAGTTATTTTCAGGCTCCCTGTCATTCTGGACCCCTCTCTGAAAGCCCAACCCCTGGTGAAACCACAGTACTCTTTTAACCAGTGTAAATTACCTCCAGAAAGTACACTCACACACAGATTAGGGTAACCTGGTATAATGTTTGTATTAGGCTTCAATGTAAGCCTGGTTAAACAGCACAAAGTAGTATAGGTGAGTGTAATAGAAATTGTCACCTTAAGTAAAGAGACTACACATACAGCAGAATCTCAATCAGAGTTAGCAGGCCTGCTTTCAGAAACTAACCTAACACCTCCAATCTGAGGTGTTGCTAGTTCCCCAGTGAGCAAGGAAAACTACCAAAGATTGAGCTATCTTACTTTGGGACCCCAGAATCTGATGGCAAGGTTTAAATCTGGGATTGAGCTCTTTGACCAGGATAGTTAATGCCCCTTGAAATGCAGTGAGGAATCTTTTGCACACTTGTTGGGGCCCAGTTGGTGCACAAGTATGGAGGGATGAAGGTGACTGTACCTCAAAGGATTAATGCAAGGGAAGGGAGAAAGAAAGACAAGTACTTTCCCTTTAAGTGGCACTTGACTTGGATGGTGTCTCCTTTAATGCACTGAGAAAAGGCAGCTTTAGGTGAGTAAGATGCCAAACTAGCAGTGAGGCTTGTCAGCTCTGATGACTGGTCTGTGCTGCAAATAGGTTCAACTGTATCGGCTGTGGGAACTAGGCCACAACACATGTTAACTGAATGCAATGTCCACAACTGTGTGCAGGAAAAGTAGCAGATATGAGGAGAATGTCAGTGTTCTCTTGCTTAAATGGTGTATGGGACTCTCTCACCCGATCTGTGGCTTTCAGCCGGTCCTGGTTGTCTCTCTCTCTCAGTGGATGGGGCCCCCACAGGTTCTCCAGCCCCACTTGCAGTTTTCCGTCCATTCAACATGCTCCGGGTCACCTGCTGGCAGACTGTCTCGCTAAACAGGGTGGCAAGGCTAGCGGTCAGCGACTCCTCCTTGCTTCTCCTCTCTCTAGCTCTGGTTCTTCAGCAGTCAGCACAACTCTCTCTCTCTGATTCTGCTCTCCAGCTCTGTCCCCTCTTGTTTCCTGTTCCTGTTCCCGGGCTTCCACATTCATATGCCTTTGCCCACACGCCAGCTCTTCTGGGTCTCCCAATTAGAAGCTTTCTAACAAAGTCCTGCATTTCAGCCTATAGGATCCATAAAGCCTTTACCAGAGTGTGTGTCACTAAGTTGTCACTAAGTTGCAGGACACTGCCATCTTGTGTCTGTTTCAACATACTGCAGCTGACATTGTAGCAGGTGCTACACACTCCCCCCAATTAAAGTCTTTGGTCCCCAAAAAACAAGCACACTGACAATGTTTGATACAACATATATACATTCAGCAAGAAAAAAATAACCAACTTAGTCAGGAGGAACAACAAGTGGCAGGTGTTCATTATTATTCAACTTCTGCAGAAATGACTCCCACCAATGATTAGCAGACTCTGTTTGATCAAGAGGCAAGGCCATGGGTTTGAAGACCTCCTCAGGGATGGTGTCAGCAGAGGGGCTTACAGATTTTTCAATGCATTCCAATAGACTGTAAATGGGAATTTTGGCTAGCAGGGAAGGCTTCTTCAGAGCTCTCTCTCAAAAAACATAAGTCAATCTCTTGGGTGCTCTTATCCCCCTTCTTTCCCTGGGCTCCTCTTGAGTGGTGTCACTATCTTCTTCCTCTAAGATGTTATCCTCCCCCATTCTCAGGAACTCTACAGCTTCTTCCATCACAGACCATGCTTGAGAACCCTTTGGGGACCAAACATCCAGCTAATCACAGAGCCCCTCTTAAAAGTGCACCCATAAAAGCTACAGCTCGGGTTCTAGTCTTATAGGCAGGCAGAACATGGAATACAAGTAAGAAACACTTACTGCACTGGGGTGCAGGGCTCACAGGTAGATGGGAGTATTTTAGCAGCAGTAGGATACTGAGCTTACTGGAACATGGAAAACAATATGTATGAAAACAAAGGGACACACAGGAGTCCCAGGGAGTACAGGTATACAGGATACAGCTGAGGTACACCAGGAGTCTAGGACAGAAAGAATACCTATTAAAACTGACAGGGATGAGGCCTGCCCACACATACAGTGAAGGTGAGGGCCCTTGGAAGGGCCAAGGCACAGAGTCTAAGGGACCGCCTGATCTTCTCCAGAGCTCCTGAAGGTGGAAATAGGTTGTGCTTGTAGGCAGGTGAAGTCTGTATTCTCCATTGTAGGTGGAGTGCGACCATAGTGGCAATGCAGATGGGAGAGGAAGTTGAGAGAAGCTATGTTTTCTATCCTTAGTACATTCTCTGCAATAAGGTAAAACATTTTCCAGTATTTGTTTTTCCCCCTTACCTTCCCATATACATACCTGAACCCAGCTTGGTATCAAGTGGCCTGCTATAGTGGCACACAGAGAAGAGCATGCTTGTGGGGGACTCCAGAAGGGAAGGTTTGGGGCTGTTCTGCTATACCATTATATAGATCAGGTAAGTATATTATGCTTGTTATTTTAAAAAAATATTCTTTATAAATGCTTTAAGGATATATTGGGGTATAGAAGCTGAAAACCATCTTACTTTAAGGGTATGGCTGCATGTTCCCATTGTGTCAGCTGACATGGTTCCGAGGGACAGCATTGTGATTTAATATTTCAGATCAACATAAAATACAATAAAAATATAAGAAGTAACTACTGGGTGATCAGGAGCTAAAAAAAAAACTGAACTGGGGTTTCTGCAGATCTTGGGGGGAGGAAGGGGGGGTTCCTCTAAGCAGAACTCTGTCCTGGAAAAATCCCAACATTTTTATCCAGAGGAGCCAAAATATTCCAAAATTCCCTGTAATCTGCATTCTGTATAGAAGCAATGTATAATGAGAGGGTGGGGCTTATTAGATGTAGGAGGGTCCTTACTGTAATAGGTAGAAGAGGCGGCTCTCCTCGGGGGTGTGTATCAGGATTGTACATAGGCTGTCTGTACAGCTCAGGGTAAGTGATCACCATCTGGACTCATCACACTGACTTTATTCTTTCTTTTCTTCAGATATATAACATTCACTGACATTGTATATACAAGACAGAGCTCAGTGGACCAATGACATAGTTGTACAGCAGTGAAGGTAACATTTCCAGATTGGACATCCACAATTCAGTTCTATCATATTATCCTGTTACTGGAACTAATTCTTTGACTTTTCACTTTTATTCAGATTGGATGGAGCGACACCATTTTGTCTTCTGACCACCGTCTACTAGACATTATTCCAGAATGACCTGTGCGTGGATTTTCCCATCCCTTTCTGACTTGAGGACCTTCCATATAAGAGACATGTCCTAAAAAAAATCAAAGTTTTTGGGATGTATCTCTTACACCCATCTCCTCTCCCCCACCACTATTACCTGCTGTCAGACTGCAGCACCTTGCATGCAAAATGACACATAGTCTGTAAGTGTCACTGAGTTATTCATTGTAATCATGTATTGTATTTACTATTTCATTTATATATAGACTACAAGGGTGACTTCTAATCTGCATATGGTATCAGTTAAAGAAACCTGAAAAGTAAAATAAAAATAAAATGTATTTCTATTTAACCACTTTTTAAGTCTTAGTTAACCAAATTCTGATCTAATGATGCCCTCCCTCCCCTTCTCCCCTTAATTTTTTCTGCTGATTTTTTATTTTTAAATCAATATTTGTTTTCATTTTCATTCATTTTGCTTGCTATTTTGTTTCAGTGGTGTACAACAAGCGATTGAGCAAAATAAAAAATAAAACAAGAGCACACGTAACTTTGTATTCTTTGTAATAGAAACATAATGTTAAGGTAATTTTCAATAGGATAAATGATAGAATATAATATATAATTTTTATTCACAGTAAACGTTTGGTTTAGGGTCGGGAAAGGCACATTCCATGTATGTATTCCGCATTGCGGTTGAACATACTGCCCTTGTGATCTGCACAGATCTCAAGTGCAATGCATTTGTGGGCACCAAATCTCACAGTACCACAATCCTATGCAATTTAGTGTGGCATGTTGTTTATTTTGCAATAGTTTTTATTGAGGTTTTCCAAAAAGAAAAAAGAAAAGTAACAACAGTAAGTGGAAAAAGCATAGAGGTGGCCAGTAGGGCCAATAGACAGGAGAATAACAACAGATCTTTAAGTACAAGTATCAATTAAGGTCAACTGAGTAGCTGTAGAATTGTAATTTACTGCTTTCAAAACTGTTGTGTAGCATAATGGCCTACACTACAGATGAATATGTGATCCATATGGACTAATCCACAAAGAGTACAAACTATACAGTACAACTGGCATCATGGTGAAAGATAGTAACAAAGTAAAATGTAAGCTCTATAGATATAAGAGCACAGCACATCCACATACCGTAGATAATTATCAGTCAATAGAGGAGTACTGGTGTACTAGCCAAGAGCCCCATACTAAAATAAATTTATCATTTTTCATAGCAAATACATGTTAAAAAAGAACAGTTTTGATTTACCTATGCAATAATGTCTGAAATATTCAGGGTATATAAGGAGCACCAGTGTCTCCTGATATTAAAATGATACTAAAGTCTCCTTTTTTTTAAAATAACAAATATGTTATACTTACCTGCTCTGTAATGGTTTTTCACAGAGAAGCCCAGATTCTCCTCTTCTCAGGTCTCCCGCCTGCACTCCTGGCCCCTCCCTTCTGTCAAAACAAGTTGCTATGGGGGCACCCAAGAAGGGGAGCTTCCACACGGCTGCTCTGTGTGTCCATTCATACACTTCATTGGGTCACTGGCTGTGATTGTCAGTAGTGAGAGCCAATGGCTCCCTCTGCTGTCTCAGCCAATGAGGAGGGAGAGTCCCCAGCAAGCCGTTTGATTGAGATGGGGCTCAGGTGAGTATTGGGGCTCAGGTGAGTAATGGGGGGCTGGGGGGAACTGCTTCACAAAGAAGGTTTTTTACCTTCATGTATAGCATGCATCAAGGTAAAAAACCTTGAGCCTTTGCAATCACTCTAAGTTTAGCTGATAAAAGTATATGAGCGACAATTGTCCTGACCTTACATTGTATAGCATTAATATTAAGATGGAAGATAACTAGCTCAATGAAAAGAGGTATTGGATAAAGGGTAAATTCTGAAATTATCACAGTTTCTCCAGCATTTGTTAGAAATAGTAGGTGACATTTTTGATCATTTGTTTTGCATGAAATACCACCTTTGGAAAGAGTTCCCAATGGTCTGTGCATAGCATGGATCTATATGTCAAGGCGAGAGCCGCACGCCATATAGATTCCAGATAGGCTTGACCTAGATCTTGCTCCCACTTTAACATTGTAGATGTTTTAGCAAAAGTATAGGTATTACTGAGTTTCTTGTAGAAAAAAAGAAATGCCTCTAAGTAGAGGTAGTTCAGGGTCATAGAAGCAGTAAAAATCTCCATCAATGTCAAGCAGTGGTGGGATCTTCTTCCTTGACTTGAATAGGTGGGTGTAACATAAATGTAAGATTCAGATAGCTGAGATGTAATCAGTAGAAATATGTCATTGTATATCTAGCTTAGTTCCATGTTATTAAAGATAAGTTAAGTGTTCAGAATTCAGTCAGAGACATATGTTCACTAATTAGCATCTGAAAGGACAGAGCAGCTTCTAGGCTGGAGGTGACACCTAGATACCAATAAAACATTTTCACCTATGTAGTCACAGTTTGCCACTTTCTAGAAATCTAAAAAGAAGGGCTCTAGCCATTTCGGCTTTGAGAAGTAGCAGGAGACCAGGAGAGGGCTCAGATCTGTTGCCAAGCTCTGATATATATCCACAGATCAAAGGAATATATTTAATCTCTCATAAAAACTAAAATATTAGTTGCAGAGAGATGAAAATACTTCCTTCTGATTGGACACACTGTATGCTACATCTGCATGTAAAACTGTATTTGTAGCTTCTGTAGAATCCCAGAGAAACACAGAAAACAGTTATATGGCACCTGATTGTGACAGCTGAACAGGGATTGGTACTGTCGTGATCGGACTGATGCGCTGGTGTCGGAAATTCAATCCCTGACTTGGTGATTCAAACTGTTCCTGGTCCAATCGACTTTGGGCACTTCGGTACCCAGAATGTCCTGTGGGCTGGTACAGGAACACCCCCCAGGGTTGATTGGCCAAGGGCTAATGTCCAGCCTACATCCATATTTCAATAAATTGAGGACTCTGAGATATGGACGGTGTGATTCGTACAGAGCTGGTTCTATTGACTGACGAATCGCGGACTTTCTCTGACTTGCTCCAGTCGCAGGATAACTCTTGGTAAAAGTTTTATTTCTGTTTTTATTCCTTTTTATTTTATAGTCAATAACCAATTGTGTTTTGCATTTTTATTGCATTTTATGTAATTGTTTCTTCTTTGTACATATTTTATGCACCGCCCACTTTTGGGATATTAAATCATAAAATGAATAAGTGAATTCTGGGTACTTAAGCTCTGGCTCATATCTTTGGAGAGATTGTATTGTATTGCAGTGTCTTCATATGTTCGGTTTGAGATCTGTGTGTGTGTGGTGGCCCAGCAGACCAGTCTGAGGATAAACTGTTGGGTGGTGTCAAGCTACCGTTTGTTGTGTGTCTGGTGTGCGGGTGTGTGGACAGTGGAAGAGTGATTAACATTGGGGTTCTAGCTTGTAGGATAGCTGGAGGAATCCTAGAAGGGTGTGCCAATTGCTAGGCTGCTCCTCAACCCTTAGAGTGCACCAGATTGTATATAAGATTCGTATCTGCCTGTGTGTGGTCAGTCAGCTGGATTGGAGTGTAGTCTCACTCTAGTCATGGGCAAAGGCCTCCAGTTCAGTCCGACATTTCCTTAGGCATTGCGCACTAGCAACTGCTTTCTTTATAGTCCCACCAGAGGTGGTGGCCAGAGGTAGTGCGGGCTGTGAAAGTATATCACGGCTGGTCTTATATATACTCAAAGTAAGTCCCCCTCATTCCCTCTTTACCCCAAGTCACGGCCAGACGTGCACGCCTCGGTTAGCTAGTCGCTGTGGGCATGTGCATGTGGGTGGGATCCGTGACAGTGGGATATCTGTATAAACTGGTAGTATTCTAAATTTGGTAAATGGTACAATTTCTAAAGAGCATCAAAGGGTGTCTGTCTCCCCTCTACTGATAAGTCCTGAGTTGATTGGATGCCACACTGTGCCCAAAAGGAAAACTGGGGGCCAAGAATATGTATTTCAAGATATTCTAAGGGAATGAGTATTTTATGGAGAGAGAAGCAGGGATGCAAGTGTTTAGTCAGCAGCCCTAATGCTTTTTGAGTGGCTTGGATGGAAGGATATTGCAAAACATAAGAGGGGGTTTGCAAGAGACAGGCAAGTAAATGTGTTTGTGGATGTTTGTAGGGAAGAAAAGATGCATCCATGAGCAACCACAACTTTTGGGAGTCAGGATGCTGACCTCAAGTTTAGATGCCCGTCAAGTTTAGCTAGGGGAAGCATAGGTTGAGTAGTAACCTGGGAAGAGTCAGTCAGGTTACTCTAGGTCAGGGCTGAGGGCTCTGCAGGTCAGTTCCCTGATACCTCCCTCTGCTCTGGAAGCTTGAGAAGTTTCTTGAAGGCAGGGGGGGGTGAGAAATGACTGATCTGCCTGTTCAAGGTACTCTGACCAATCCCAAGCAGGAGGCTTGGCATGGGCTCAGGGTGTCCCTTAAGTGTGAGAGAGCCTGATCAGCAGGAGTAGTGTAGTGTGTGTCAGGTAGAAGATGGAGTAAAGGCTTCATAGTGGAGCCTGGGAGGGGGCCCAGGAGAAGGGCCTACCTACAGGTGGGAGCCTAAAGGAGGATCTCTCTGGCCCATCATCCCCAGAGAGAGGATAGCCTACCAACACCAAGCTCACAGCAGAGACAGAGTGAGTAATCCTACACACCCTGGGCCAGATAAGTAGAGAGAGCGGTCAGGTGGAAAACCCAACAATCTCCTAATCTGGGGCTGTTTTGCTAAGTGGCAGTTTCTGGGTCCCTCTAAATAAGTGCAGCGCTTCACCACAAATAAATTAATAAAAGCTTAATTAAAAGGCATTCACTATACATATGAGTGCAA